TCTCCTCACACACCATCCTCCAGCTCTCAATCTTCTCAGCCAAATCATTTCCAATTAAACAATCGTATGGTATGTCAGGACTAACTGCAAAGTCCCACATACCCTTCCATCCTTCATATTCTATTGGCAAAGTCACTACTGTGGTTGGTATCGCAGGTCCTAAACCTTTTAATTTTATTTCAGAGGTTGGCTGCTGAAATTTCTGAGGGATTATTTCGGGATGCACTACACATATTTCGGAACCTGTGTCTCTGAGTCCTTTCCTGTCTTTGTTATCAATACTGATGGTTTCTAAGTAGTCCTTAAATGGGCTGCCTGACAAGATGAACAAACATTGTTTCTCTTGAGGCTCTGAGCCTGAACTCTTCTTTGAAACAGTATCTAGTTCTGCCTGTGGTGTTTCCTTCATTTTATTCACAAAAAGGGTTGTTTTCTCTTTCCTTAACAGGGGACATTGATACTTTATATGATCCAATTTTCCACATTGAAAGCACCGTCTTTTTACCTCAGGAGCAGTTTGTCTTGTTACACTCTGCCCCCTATAGATGGTGTTTTCTAAGTCAGACCCCTTTTCTGGCTGTAGGCGCGTTTGTTGTGGATAAAATGGCTGCCTGTTTGTTCTCCTGTCACCTGGCAGATCTTCTCTCTTAAATCCTTCTTTTAAGGTTGTTATTTGATCTGCCATACCCGCTGCCTCTACAATTGTGGATGGCTTGCGATCCTGAATCACCCAACGAATATCATAAGGCACTAGTTGGAAAAACTGCTCCAGCTTCAAAAGTTCCCTCAGCTGTTGATAATCTTCCACCTCAGATGTCCTTATCCAACTATCGAACAGTTGAGACAATCTTGAGGCCACCTGAGCAAAACTTTGAGTTTTATCTTTCTTTAATGTCCTGAACTTAAATCTATAATATTCAGGAGTCAATCTAAATTCTTGTTGAATCTGTTTCTTAAACAGATCATAGTCTCCACAAGAATCCTCAGACATCTGTCCATAAATCTGCAAAAGTTTCCCACTTATCTGAGGCCTTAGGTATGTCATCCATTTTTCCTTAGCCACCCCAAAATCTCGACAACATCTCTCAAAAGATATTAGGAATTTCTCTGGGTCATCGTCTTTGGTAAATTTTGGGAATTTCTTCGTCAAATCTGGGGTATCTCCTCCAGATCTCCCCTCCTGGATATCCCTGGATGTTTGAGACAAAGCCAATCTTTGTTTCTCTAGCTCAAACTCCATTCTCTTCAATTCTAACTCCTGTTCCCTCTCTCTCTGTTTTTCTTCAAACTCTCTCTGTTTTGCCTCTTTCTCCATCTCCAATCGTTTCATCTCTAGTTTATACTTATAAGCCATTTCTGAGAAAGGCATCGGCTCGGTCTCTGTCTCAGAGCTCGAACTTTCCTCTTGGTCTCCCTCTCTTTCCTCAGCCAGCTTTCTCTGTCGCCTGGTAGCCATCTTTCAGCAACTTTTACCTCACAACTTATTTCAAAATTAACTTAAGGCACTCGATCAGTTGTTACACGAATCCCGTCGTCTGCCACCAAAAATGTAAGGAAGCGTAATCCCACCTAAATGGGATTACCAAAATTAAGTAAATATGTATGTTAATCCACCTAATTTCAGCATAAATTATAAGGAAGTCCCAAAACTGCTTGATTACACTGCCACCATTATATATATATAGAGACGTTGGAATTGAAGTCTCTGTTTATCCCTATCTGCGTTGTGAGGCAACTTTGGTAGAGTGGATTGCACCAAATGTAAAATCAATGGAGGAGGCAGATTTATAACACAGAGAGAACAAGTTTATTGTTAACAGAGCGTAATTGTTGCAATACTGAGATGTTGAACTTGGCACAAGCTTGATGGTTACAATATGGCTTGGTAGAGATACATTCAGGCTTCTGATGTTACAATCCTTTAAACTCCTTCTTCAGTGAAGTACTTTATTATTTCAGTGTTCCCTGTTGTGAATATTCACTCTGTTTGTCCTATACCGGATCAAACCACCGATCTCCAGTCTTTCACTACTGGGATCCCTAAAACCCCCTTTGTTAGATTCTTTTTTAACACAAGCAATCTAACAAGGTTTCACCTTCAGCTCCCTTGCTGAAGAAATATTCACAAATGCTAAGAACTAACTGAATCTATACTGCTTCACCACACAGAGCCCTAACTGACTCCGCTCCTCTTCTCAGGGTCTCATCCTCCTGACTGACTCTTAACTGTTACTTTCAAACCTTTTATCTCCTTAAGCTCCGCCCACCTTCTCTTCTGCCTTGTCACCATGGCAACCTATCTCTCACAGCTAGGCCATGGCCACGCATGTAAAACATAAATACAGTTTAAGCACAGTACATTAAACCCTTTATAATAAACACTTCTCTACAATTCTTAAAAAAATTCAAAAAATATTCTAAAAAAAGAAAAAAAGTGATTTGCGCATGCGCGGGGGTCCGCCATCTTAACGAATCGATTCGTTAATAATAAAGAAATTTCGTAAATACCGAACTTTTTTAAAGGAAAATTTTGTAATTCTTTTAAATAACGAAACGCAAAAATCCCCCAAAAACTAATCGATTTTAGAAACAAATTTTTGCGTTGTTACCCAGACCTAATATATATATATATATATATATATATATATATATATATATATATATAGATTGATAGATATTATTATGATAGATATATAGATATTATTATTGTAGATATATTATAACCCAGTAAAGTAAAAGTAAAGTAAAAATGAATGGCCATCTTTTGGGAGTGTTTTGATTCTGCCTTCCTGGACAGCCTTTGCTAACTCACAGAGCGTGCCTTTTTGTCCCTTCTTTGAATACTGGATTTCATTTCCCAGAATGCCTTCCCATAACTCAGTATGGGTGAGGTTTCTGGGCACACACAAACACACACACAGAATCCCTGGGAGTTCCCACCAGCCCAGCGGAGGCAGCGAGGCAAGAAGGAAAGGATCTCTCTCTCTCTCCTTCCCTCTCTCTCTCTCAGCGGTTGGGTTTTTTCCCCTCGTGCAGGAGCGAGGGGCGGGGGAAAGGGTTCTTTTAACACAGGCTCTATATAGGCATTTAGCCTTGTGGGGGGTAAGTTCTTTCCAGTTAATTATTATTATTTTTTTTAGTGGTGAACATAAATTGGGTTGTTAGGTGTCTTGTGTCCAAATTTGGTGTCAATTCCCCCAGTGGTTTTAAAGTTCTGATGGTAGCACAAACTAACATGACATTTTTATTTATATAGATAGGTAAGGTATTGTAAAACAAATCTTTTGCAACCTTTCTTGCAGGTTGTAATCACGTTAACCAAACGGGCCGAGCAGCGGAGCTTGCCCTTGCACCAGCTGACCATCCTTCAGCTTGGGACAGAAGGCAGGATTAAAAGCCATGACCTGACGGCCACAGCGTACCTTAAGAAGATCGACATGAAGTGCCTTGAATTCACAGGTATATCTTATCTAGCATTGCATTTGGAAAAGGCGTGTCGTTGGGGCAAGGCAAACTTTCCGAATGTCCCCCCCCCCCCAAAAAAAAGTTTAGTTCCAGTGTTTATCAACCTGGAGCTGAAATGACAATTAGGCCATTCGTATTTTTCCTCCCTCCAGATTCGAAAGGAAATCCCTTGAACATCGTCAGTTCTTCAGACGACTCTGGCAAGCATCTTTTGAAGATGGAATACATCAAGGTGAAACAGGTTTCCCTTCTTTGGCTAATGGTCACATTAGTGCAACAAAGCATTCTGGTGCCTGAAACGAAAAAGGATAAAGCTCGTTTTTCTAGGAGAAATGCTAGGATTAATTACCGTATATATTCACGTATAAGCCGATCCAAATGGGGACTCAGGTTTATTTATTTATTTTATTTATTTACTACTCTTGTATACCGCCGTTTCTCAGCCTACAATGGCGACTCAACGCGGTTTACATCACTAAAACAGCAACCATATACAATTTAAAAGCGTAAAAAACATAAAAAACATATACCATAAACAGTATTGGGCCACCAATACAATCGAAGCATCTCTTAACTAAAAAAACGTAATCCAATCTCATCGTCCGTGATTGCCGATCCTTGGTCATTAACTTCGTTGCATTATTTTAACCAAATGCTTGTTGAAACATCCATGTTTTTAGTTTTTTTCTAAATGCCATCAATGAAGAGGCAGATCTTATCTCTACAGGGAGGGCATTCCAAAGCCGGGGGGCTACCACAGAAAAGGCCCTATCTCTCGTTCCCACGAGCCGCACCTGTGAAGCAGGTGGGATAGAGAGAAGGGCCTCCCCTGAAGACCTTAGGGTCCTGGTGGGCTGATAGGCCGAGATACGTTCGGATAGATATGTTGGGCCAGAACCGTTTAGGGCTTTAAAGGCCAATGCCAGCACCTTGAATTGGGCCCGGTAGCAGATCGGCAGCCAGTGGAGCTGGTACAGCAGGGGAGTTGTATGCTCCCTGCGTCCCGCTCCTGTTAGCAACCTGGCTGCCGATCGTTGGACCATTTGTAGCTTCCGAGCAGTCTTCAAAGGCAACCCCACGTAGAGAGCGTTGCAGTAGTCAAGACGGGATGTAACCAGAGCATGGACTACCGTGGCCAAGTCAGACCTCCCAAGGTATGGTCGCAGTTGGCGCACCAGTTTTAACTGTGCGAATGCTCCCCTGGTCACCGCTGAGACCTGGGAATCCAGGCTCAGCGATGAATCCAAGATCACACCCAAACTGCGAACCTGTGTCTTCAGGGGGAGTGCGACCCCATCCAACACAGGATGTAAACCCATACCCTGTTCGGCCTTACGACTGACCAGGAGTACCTCTGTCTTGTCTGGATTCAATTTCAATTTGTTCGCCCCCATCCAGACCGTCACAGCGGCCAAGCACCGGATCAGGACCTCGACAGCCTCCTTAGTAGCAGGTGGAAAGGAGTGACAGAGCTGGACATCATCCGCGTACAGATGACATCTCACTCCGAAACTCCGGATGATCTCGCCCAGCGGCTTCATGTAGATGTTAAACAACATGGGAGACAGTATTGAGCCCTGAGGAACCCCACAAGACAATGGTTGTGGGGTTGAACAGGTGTCTCCCAACAACACCTTCTGAGATCGACCCTCCAGGAATGACCGGAGCCACTGCAAAACAGTACCTCCAAGACCCATCCCCGCGAGGCGTCCCAGAAGGATACCGTGGTCGACGGTATCGAAGGCCGCTGAGAGGTCCAGCAGCACCAACAGGGACACACTCCCCCTGTCGAGCTCCCGACGCAGATCATCCACTAAGGCGACCAAGGCTGTCTCGGTACCATGCCCCGGCCTAAAGCCAGACTGTGCCGGGTCCAGATAATCCGTGTCTACCAAGAATGCCTGGAGTTGTGAGGCCACCACACGTTCCATGACTTTGCCCAAAAAGGGGAGATTGGAAACAGGCCGATAGTTGACGAATTGAGTGGGGTCCAGTGATGGTTTTCAACAGCGGTTTTATCACAGCTTGCTTTAAGCTGGCTGGAATTTTGCCCTCCCGAAGGGAGGCATTAACCACCACCTTCACCCACTCGGCCAATCCCCCTCTGGCCTCTTTTAGAAGCCAGGATGGGCAGGGGTCTAGGATGCATGTGGTAGCTCTCATTCCTCCAAGCACCTTGTCCACATCCTCGGATTGAACCAATTGAAATGAATCCATCAAAACCGGACAAGCAGATGCTCGTGTTACATCCTCAGATACTGCCGTTAATATGGTATCCAGTCCAGAGCGGATCAAAGCGACTTTGTCTGCGAAGAACTGAGCAAAAGCTTCGCAGCGGGCTGCCGAGTCATCAGGGCACCCATCCTGAGTGGTGGGTTTTAATAAGCCTCTGACAACTCGGAACAGCTCAGCCGGACGGTTCTTCGCAGACGCAATATTGGCCGCAAAGAATGTCTTCTTTGCGGCTTTTATTGCCGCGGCGTATGCCCTTAAAAAGGACATGAACCGTGTTCGATTTGGCTCGCTCGGATCTGAACGCCACACGCTCTCTAGTTCCCTCTTCTTTCGCTTCATCGCTGCCAGCTCCTCAGTAAACCAAGGAGCTGGTTTAGCTCGGCTACTTGAGAGGGGACGTTCCGGAGCAATCGTGTCAATTGCCCTAGTCATCTCCCCATTCCAGAGAGTGACCAGGGCCTCGACAGGATCACCTACCGAGGCGGCGGGAAATTCCCCAAGAGCCGTCAGGAATCCATCCGGATCCATAAGCCTCCTGGGGCGGACCAGTTTAATGGGTCCTCCACCTCTGCGGAGGTTAGGGGGTGCAGTGAGTCTAAAGCTGACCAGGTGGTGGTCGGTCCATGGCAACGGAGAGATGGATAACTCCTCAACACCGCCACCTTCCTCCCATCCCTGACAGAAAACCAAGTCCAATGTATGTCCAGTACTGTGGGTGGGGCCAGATACCTGTTGGGACAGCCCCATGGTTGCCATGGTGGACATGAAGTCCTGAGCCGCTCCCGATAGGGCGGTCTCGGCGTGGACATTGAAGTCCCCCAGCACAAGTAGCCGATGGGACTCCAATGCCAGGTCCGAGATCACCCCTGCTAGCTCAGGTAGGGAGACTGTAGTGCAGCGAGGTGGACGGTACACTACCAGAATCCCTAATCTGTCCCGGTCACCCACCCTCAGGTGGACGCATTCAAAATTTGTTGACTGCGGGATGGGGGCCCTGGTCAGAAGAATGGAATCTCTATAGACCACTGCAACTCCGCCTCCCCGCCCTCCGGATCTCGGCTGGTGCTGCACAGAAAACCCTGGAGGACAAAGCTGGGTCAGATTTATGCCTCCTGCTTCGTCCAACCAGGTCTCTGTGATGCACGCCAGATCTGCCCGTTCATCCAGGATTAAATCCTGGATGAAAGATGTTTTACCATTGACAGATCTGGCGTTCAACAGCACCACCTTTAATTCGGAGGGACCGCCATCCTGGTTACACCAACTTACCGTATCAGGAGACCGATTTGGAATTACTAACGTTTTTACATGTTCCCTGAGCCGAATTCGTTCCCTAAGCCGAATTGAAGGTCTCCCTTTCCCGTATCTCCCCCTTCCCACCACGACATCTATGGGAGCTCCCCGGTTAACCGAAGCCTCTCCCTCCTCCATGACGCATATAGTCGCCGTGATATCAACCCGCAGTTCATTATTAATCAGTTGATGTACTATTGCTTCAGGTTGCCATGGCCTTAAGTTCCAATCCTTTCCCGCTCTTATTATGTTGAGCTCGGGTCTTCCTAAGCTATTCCGCTCCCACTCTCTGCAGTAAATAATTAGCAGCAAGATTAACAGTTGCCATAGAGTGGACGATGACGTAGGTGAAAGCTAAAAACGCAATCAAGGAGTTCAATGAGTTCCTAAATGCAAGAAGAATTGTATCAGCTTATACGATGTTCTGATAATTAAAGTACCGTAGTTGTTAATTAATGCTAAAGTGCTAAGTATAATGCGTCATGGAGGAACCGCTAACTGGAATGAATTTTGGTTAAGGTGCAAGAAGTCGTTAAAGTGCCACGCTTTCAAAGTGCTAATATTGGCTTCCAAAATAGTAACAAGCAAACATTCGAGCTAGATATAGATCTATAATTATATATACTAATTTCACATATGCATTTCCCCCTGAAACATTTGCAAATTCTCTCTCTCTATATGAGCATTTCCCTCCAGCCATATTTACAAGCCCTATATATCTATGTTTATATCTTTCTAGACATCTCTCTCTCTCTGTGTGCATTTCCCCTGCAATATTTTCCATATATATCTGTTGTGACTGGGCACCAAAGATTGTCTCACACAGCAGTTTAAGGGTTAACAAAAGTCTTTAATGAGTCTCTGGTAGACTAACAGCACTTGAGCAGCAGTGCTAGTTAGCAAAACAAAAGGCCTTCAGGCAAGTAAACAAAGGAGGGAGAGAAGCCGGATTATCCCAGGACTCAAGCTCAGGGAAAAAGGAAACCAGGAGCAAACGCTGGTGTTGATAAACACGGAGTGAAAACGGTCCTTGGTCATACACAGGCAAGAGCAGTAAACAAAGTCCAGAAAGCAGTCGCGTGGTCCAGGAACGTTTCCAAAGTCAGGGGCAAGGAGAAGTCACTCCTTCCGAAGTCCAATCCGAAGTCAAGACACAAGAAGACACAATAACTGGAAACCCAGGACCCAAACAGAGGTTAGGCAGTACAAAGACCGGATACAACACTTTGTCCTCTGCAAAGCTACATATCCCAGAGCTCCCATTTTTATTAGCAGTCACTATCGCTTGATTGGCTATCATCGCTATCATCTGGGTCATCTCCCTCAGCTGCTAGCTTGTTACCTCGCCAACGCTGCCATCGTTGATCTAATTCAGAATCCTGCCAAGATGTACCTTCCTGCCATGTATTTTGGAATCCCTCGAACTCGTCACTGGATGTGGGCTGATTACATTTGTCCTGAATTTCCCTAACCCGAGTCCAGTCCAATTCCTCCTCATTCTCCTCATTACTGGCTTCCAGTTCATCTGCACAGGAATTGTCAGCTGTATCTTTAAGCCGTTTACTCAAAGTTTCCTCGTCACTAGCAGACTCATTGGCAGCCCGCTTTACTCCCCGGTAATCCCCTTCTTCCAGATCCTCGGGTCCAAACCCTGCAAAATCTTCCGTGTCGCTAGGTGCTAAGAATATATCTCGAATACACTCCCTAAGAATATATCTCGAATACGCTCCAGCTGATGCTGATCCAGCTCTGACTCAACATTACTCCTCCTTTTCCTACAACCGGTAGCAGCTTCGCTGTCAAGACGCTGAGCCACAACAATATCTATGTTTATATCTATGTGTGTGTGTGTTCATTTCCCCTGCAATATTTGCAAGCCCTATATATCTTATGTTTATTTCTATCTAGATGTCTCTCTCTCTCTTTCTCTGTGCATTTCCCCTGCAATATTTAGAAGCCCTATATATCTATGGTTATATCTATCTAGACATCTCTCTCTGTGTATATATATGTGTGTGTGAATTTTCCTGCAATATTTGCAAGCCCTAAATATATTATGTTAATATCTTTCTAGACATCTCTCTCTCTCTGTGTATGCATTTCCCTCTTGCAATATTTACAAGCCCTATATATCTATGTTTATATCTTTCTAGGCATCTGTCTCTCTCTGTGCATTTTGCTCATGCAATATTTACAAGCCCTATATATCTATGTTTATATCTTTCTAGACATCTCTCTCTCTGTGCATTTCCCTCCTGCAATATTTACAAGCTCTATATATATCTATGTTTATATCTTTCTAGACATCTCTCTCTCTGTGCATTTCCCTCCTGCAATATTTACAAGCTCTATATATCTATGTTTATATCTTTCTAGACATCTCTCTCTCTGTGCATTTCCCTCCTGCAATATTTGCAAGCCCTATATATCTATGTTTAAATCTTTCTAGGCATCTGTCTCTCTCTGTGCATTTTGCTCATGCAATATTTACAAGCCCTATATATCTATGTTTATATCTTTCTAGACATCTCTCTCTCTGTGCATTTCCCTCCTGCAATATTTACAAGCTCTATATATCTATGTTTATATCTTTCTAGACATCTCTCTCTCTGTGCATTTCCCTCCTGCAATATTTGCAAGCCCTATATATCTATGTTTATATCTTTCTAGACGCCTGTGTGTGTGTGTGTGCATTTCCCTAACAATATTTGCAAGCCCTATATATCTATGTTTATATCTTTCTAGACATCTCTCTCTCTCTGTGCATTTCCCTCCTGCAATATTTGCAAGCCCTATATATCTATGTTTAAATCTTTCTAGGCATCTGTCTCTCTCTGTGCATTTCCCTCCTGCAATATTTACAAGCCCTATATATCTATGTTTATATCTTTCTAGACGCCTGTGTGTGTGTGTGTGCATTTCCCTAACAATATTTGCAAGCCCTATATATCTATGTTTATATCTTTCTAGACATCTCTCTCTCTCTGTGCATTTCCCTCCTGCAATATTTGCAAGCCCTATATATCTATGTTTATATCTTTCTAGACATCTCTATCTCTGCATTTCCCTCCTGCAATATTTACAAGCTCTATATATCTATGTTTATATCTTTCTAGACATCTCTCTCTCTGTGCATTTCCCTCCTGCAATATTTGCAAGCCCTATATATCTATGTTTAAATCTTTCTAGGCATCTGTCTCTCTCTGTGCATTTTGCTCATGCAATATTTACAAGCCCTATATATCTATGCTTATATCTTTCTAGACATCTATCTATGTATGTATGCATGCATTTCCCTCCTGCAATATTTGCCAGCCCTATATATCTATGTTTAAATCTTTCTAGACATCTCTCTCTGTGCATTTCCCTCCTGCAATATTTACAAGCCCTATATATCTCTGTGGATGTGACACGAGCACCTGCTTGTCCTATTTTGATGGATTCTTTTCAGTTTGTGAAGCCCGAGGATGTGGACAAGATACTTGGAGGAATGAGGCCCACCACGTCCATCCTAGACCCCTGCCCATCCTGGCTTCTGAAGGAGGCCAGAGGGGGATTGGCTGAGTGGGTAACGGTGGTGGTTAATGCCTCCCTCCGGGAAGGCAAGATTCCAGCGAGCTTAAAACAAGCTATTATAAAACCGCTGTTGAAGAAACCATCATTAGACCCCACTAAATTTGACAACTTTCGGCCTGTTTCCAATCTCCCCTTTTTGGGCAAAGTCATGGAAAGCGTGGTGGCCTCACAACTCCAGGTATTCTTGAGAGACACGGATTATCTGGATTCGGCACAGTCTGGTTTCAGACCGGACATGGAACTGAGACGGTCTTGGTCGCCTTAGTGGATGATCTGCGCCGGGAGCTAGACAGGGGGAGTGTGTCCCTGTTGGTGCTCCTGGACCTCTCAGCGGCCTTCGATACCGTCGACCACGGTATCCTTCTGGGGCGCCTTGCGGAAATGGGCCTTGGGGGCACTGTTTTGCAGTGGCTCCAGTCATTTCTGGAGGGTCGCACCCAGAAGGTGTTATTGGGGGACACCTGTTCGACACCACAGCCTTTGACCTGTGGGGTTCCACAGGGCTCCATACTGTCCCCCATGCTGTTTAACATCTACATGAAGCCGCTGGGTGAGATCATCCGGAGTTTCGGGGTGCGGTGTCATCTGTACGCAGATGATGTCCAACTCTGTCACTCCTTCCCACCTGCTACTAAGGAGGCTGTCGAGGTCCTGAACCGGTGCCTGGCCGCTGTAACGGTCTGGATGAGGGCGAACAAATTGAAATTGAATCCAGACAAGACAGAGGTACTCCTGGTCAGTCGCAAGGCCGAACAGGGTATAGGGTTACAGCCTGTGCTGGATGGGGTCGCACTCCCCTTGAAGGCGCAGGTTCGCAGCTTGGGTGTGACCCTGGATTCATCGCTGAGCCTGGATCCCCAGGTTTCAGCGGTGACCAGGGGAGCATTTGCACAGCTTAGGCTCGTGCGCCAGCTGCGCCCGTACCTCGGGAAGTCTGACTTGGCCACGGTGGTACACGCTCTGGTCACATCCCGCCTTGACTACTGCAACGCTCTCTACGTGGGGCTGCCCTTGAAGACGGCCCGGAAGCTCAGCTAGTCCAGCGCGCGGCAGCCATGTTACTAACAGGAGCGGGACGCAGGGAGCACACAACGCCCTTGTTGTCCCAGCTCCACTGGCTGCCGATCTGCTACCGGGCCCAATTTAAGGTGCTGGTGTTATCCTACAAAGCCCTAAACGGTTCCGACCCAAAATACCTTTCGGACCGCATCTCGGCCTATGAGCCCACGAGGGCCTTGAGATCATCTGGGGAGGCCCTTCTCTCGATCCCGCCTGCCTCACAGGCACGTTTGGCGGGGACGAGAGATAGGGCCTTCTCGGTGGTGGCGCCCCGGCTATGGAGCACCCTCCCTGTGGACATCAGACAGGCGCCCTCCCTTATGTCATTCCGCAAGAGCTTAAAGACATGGCTATTCGAGCAGGCGTTCAACTAAGCATTACAACAACTGGCATTGATGACTGGAACGGAATATGGAATACGAGATTGGTTTATGATTTTACGATGAGACGACGCGGATGATTTAGAGTAATTATTGTTGTATTATTGATGTTACGTGCATACTGTGTTGTATGAGGGTTGTATTGTAAACTGTTTTTATATGTTGTACACCGCCGTGAGTCGCCCGAAAGGGCTGAGAACGGCGGTCAACAAATGCAATAAATAAATAAATAAATAAATAAATATCTATGTTTATATCTTTCTAGACATCACTCTCTCTGCATTTCCCTCCTGCAATATTTACAAGCCCTATATATCTATTTTTATATCTTTCTAGACATCTCTCTGCATTTCCCTCCTGCAATATTTGCAAGCCCTATATATCTATGTTTATATCTTTCTAGACATGTCTCTCTCTCTCTCTCTGTGCATTTCCTGCCTGCAATATTTATAAGCCCTATATATCTATGTTTATATCTTTCTAGACATCTCTCTCTCTCTGTGCATTTCCCCTGCAATATTTACGAGCCCTATATATCTATGTTTATATCTTTCTAGACATCACTCTCTCTGCATTTCCCTCCTGCAATATTTGCAAACCCTATATATCTATGCTTATATCTTTCTAGACATCTCTCTCTCTCTGTGTGCATTTCCCTCCTGCAATATTTATGAGCCCTATATATCTATGTTTATATCTTTCTAGACATCTCTCTATGTATGTATGCATGCATTTCCCTCCTGCAATATTTTCCAGCCCTATATATTTATGTTTAAATCTTTCTAGACATCTCTCTTTGTGCATTTCCCTCCTGCAATATTTACAAGCCCTATATATCTATGTTTATATCTTTCTAGACATCTCTCTCTCTCTGTAGATTTCCTTCCTGCAATATTTATGAGCCCTATATATCTATGTTAATATTTTTCTATACATCTCTCTCTCTCTCTGTGCATTTCCCCTGCAATATTTACAAGCCCTATATATCTATGTTTATATCTAGCTAGACATCTCTCTCTGTGTGTGCGTCCCTGCCATATGCAGCTATTGTATGAAAGCATTAAGGGCGACGCTGTACAAGTACGGTAGAAGAAAATCCATTCATCAGGATTCATGGACTTAATACGGTCCCAATGGTGAGGTGAAGGGGCGCCTCAGCCAAGCTTTGAAGCTGAAAGGCTATTCAGTGCTAATCAAGGTGACCAGTTGCAACATTCACACTTGTCTCAGATAGGCAAGAGTGCTTTCTCCCACCCTGGACGTTATTCCAGAGATCTATAAACCCCGCTTGCCTAGTTTCCAACCGACCTCTCAACCTCTGAGGATGCCTCCCATAGATGTGGGTGAAACATCAGGAGAGAGTGCTTCTGGAACATGGCCATGCAGTCCAGAAAACTCACAGCAACCCCATTTGATTGATTGAATATATCTCGTACTTGATGTCATTTTGACTACCTGATGTAACCAGAAATTTGATTCTCTTCGTAGGCGGATGCCGACGGGCCCCATTTTGAAACAGTCTACAAAAACACCAAGCAAGTCTTAGACGTAAGTATGAAAATACATTGCTGAGTTAATGTCCATATATCTGTGCAATGAGTGTGAGTGGGAAACTTTGTTTATAGTTGACTTGAGTTGACATGCTCCAAACCATTAAGAGAGGTGGGTAACAAATAATGATGGTTGTTATTGCTTTCTTGGACTTGAACTCCCAGAATCCACAACTGCATTGGCCAATGATTGGGGATTCTGGGAGCTGAAGTCTTTATAACGCTTTGGAAGAACGGAATCTATATAAATAAAAATGTAATGTTTGTTTGTGCTATTCACAAAACTCAGAAACCACTGGGACAATTGACACCAAATTTGGACAAATTTGGACAACAACCCAATGTATGTTCTCCACTAAAAAAAAACAACGAAAACAAAAAGCAGAAAAGACTTCTATACTGCATGTCCACAAAGGAGAAACTGCATGTCTATTATTATTATTAACTTTAATAATAATAATAATATGGCAGATAGGGAAGAATAGGCACAGACAGGGTAGCAACAGCAGAGATACGATTCATTTGCATATGTCAAGCCGATTGGTCTTATGCAGATTAGTTTAGGCCCAGGATTTGAAAAGGCTGCTAGGCCAAAATGACAGTTGGGGAGAGCAGAGCTGAACATTCCAAAGGGGCAGAGCCAAGGTTCTGAAAGAGGCAGAGTGAGGGAGTTTGAAAATGAGTTAGGCGTCTGTGTGTGAAGAAGAGAGTTGGTTTTTGAGTGCCTGATAGAAATAAGCAGTTATAAAGATGTGTTAAAGACTTCTGATATAGAGAAGCAGTTAGTTAAATAGAGCTCAAGTTTTAAGGAACATAAAGTAGGCTAGTGTTGCCTTGGTTCAGAATATAATTCAGTCAAGAGTGTGTAAACCAAGTAACATGTTTGTGAATGTAAAACATTGATAGTTTATTCAGAAAAGTTAACCAAGTAAAGGATACTGACTGTAAACCCCAAGATTGCAACAAAACACAAATGTAACCACAAGCGTTGGAGCCAGAAGTTATAAATAAACTGTGTTACTTAGTTATACACAAGAGTGTTTCATTGCCTGTGATATAAAGTGCAAAGGTTTAACAGCACACAAAAAGCCCCAGCCAATATAAAAGAAGAAACTGAATCAGTATAAAGCAACAAAGAGGTTTTTAAAGAGGAAATAATCTCTCTCCCTCGCTACAGTATGTTGTTCTTTCTCCACTCAATTGCCTTATTCCCTGCTTCCATTCATTCCAAACCATCTCCATCCATCATCTTTTCTACTACATATCTTAATTGGTTTGCTTCATAATATTTTTATATATTCGGTAAGCCTAATCCTCCTTCTTTTTGGGGCTTGTACCAAAGTTGTTTGTTTAATCTGTTCTTTTTCCCATTGTTGCAATGGAGCTGAAGTCTTTATAATGCTTGGAAGAATGGAATAATCGCATAAACGTGTTGTCCCTCTCTCAGGTCTCCTTTTCATCTCTGGACCTGCTGCTCCACATGGATGCCTTGCTCTCCATCATGAACTTCTTCTTGTACGCCTCCAGCGGCTTCGCAGCGACAGAGAAGGGGACGGGGACAAAGCTTCCCTCGGAGGAGCCCCTTAGAACAGTCCTCGCCAAAACAGGTAGGACGGCGTCCGTTTCGGGAAGGAAAACCAGCTGCAGAGTGGTCATGCGTTTAGCTCGCTCTTTGCTTTGCCTTCATTTGCAATCGAGGTGACGCCGCATTGTCTCCCCTTTTTGGCAGCCCCTGTCCCTGCTGCCCTGGACAACGTGTTCGACCTGAAGCTCATGGCCCGATTGAGCGCTTTCAACATTTGGGTCTGCGACCAACAAGGAGACATTGCAGACATGCGGATACAAGGTGAACGGATTTCTTTCTCTTCATAGGATCACGTTGTGAACATTCGGATAATAATAATAATAATAATAATAATAATAATAATAATAATAATAATAATAATAAATCACACAGTCCTAGACACTTGGGAAGTGTCCGACATGTGATCCACTACAACAGCCAGCAGAGTGTCCGCCGTGGACTCATCTTGTTGTGTTTCAAATAATAATAATCCTGTCTTCTAAAGTAGGCTCAGCATCATGGAGACCTCCTTGAGCACCAACTAAACCTAGAAAGGGTTCAGCCAGCCATGGTTTGAACTCAAAAGTGAGAATGAACCGAGTCCTTTCTGTTGTGTCCAATCACTGAAAGCCTTTTCTCCGCATCTCTCCACTCTGCTTAGGGATGGAGGCCTCTGTCTTCACTATGCCCAAGCAGACCGAAGTGTTTGCCAGGCTCCGGGACTTTGTCGTCATCAACGTCGACCCCAAGGCGGTTCACAAAAAGGTGAGTTTGAAGGCCCGAAGGGTGATGATGGGACCAGGAAAAGATAAAGTGAATTTCACAGAGAACAATGGATTAAAAGGGAAGAGAAAGAGCGAAGGAATTTGGGAAAAGATAGCATTGCTTAGCGTTGCTAGGTGAAGTGTGTAGAAGGTCAGGAGAGAGATCGGGTTGACTTGACCGTGATGGGAGCAAAAGAGGGGGAGAAATGGCCTGGAAAGATGTTATCGACAACAAGAATTGTTTACAGCAGTAGTTCTCAACCTTCCTAATGCCGTGACCCCTTAATACAGTTCCTCCTGTTGTGTTGACCCCCGACCATAACATTATTTTCATTGCTACTTCATAACTTCATAATGGCTTCAGGAAAGGCAAAAGCCGCACATCGCAAGTGTTGAACCTGGCTCAGCACATAGAAGATGGCTTTGAAAGGCGGCAGATCACAGGAGCTGTCTTCATAGACCTGTCAGCAGCCTATGATACTGTGAACCACCGCCTCCTCCTGAGAAAAATGTATAGTATCACGAAGGATGACTACCTCACCCGCCTCATAGGAAACCTAATACAAAACAGGAGCTTTTTTGTTGAGTCCCAGGGCCAGAGAAGCAGAAGAACGGCCTGCCTCAGGGGAGCGTGCTTGCTCCATCCATGTTCAACATCTACACAAATGACCAGCCACTGCCAGAAGGGACAGAGAGATTCATCTATGCTGATGATCGTGACATCACCGCTCAAGCAGGTAGTTTTGAGATGGTAGAACAGAAGCTCTCCGAAGCTCTAGGTGCTCTTACTGCCTATTACAGGGAAAACCAGCTGATCCCTAATCCATCTAAAACACAGACATGTGCCTTTCACCTCAAGAACAGACAAGCATCCCGAGCTCTGAGGATTATTACCTGGGAAGGAAGGAATCCCACTGGAGCATTGCAGCACACCCAAATACCTGAGAGGAGTCACTCTGGACTGTGCTCTGACCTACAAGAAGCACTGCCTGAACATCAAGCAAAAAGTGGGCGCTAGAAACAATATCATACGAAAGCTGACTGGCACAACCTGGGGATCACAACCAGACACAGTGAAGACATCTGCCCTTGCGCTGTGCTACTCTGCTGCTGAGTACGCATGCCCAGTGTGGAACACATCTCACCATGCTAAAACAGTGGATGTGGCTCTTAATGAGACATGCCGCATTATCACGGGGTGTCTGCGCCCTACACCACTGGAGAAATTACACTGCTTAGCCGGTATTGCACCACCTGACATCCGCCGGGAAGTAGCAGCCAATAGTGAAAGGACCAAGGCAGAGACATCTCCAGCTCATCCCTTGTTTGGGTACCAGCCAGCACGTCAATGACTTAAATCAAGAAATAGTTTTCTAAGATCTACAGAGACACTCGCTGGAACACCTCAGCAAGCGAGAGTCCAAAAGTGGCAGGCTCAAACCAGAACCTCAACCAATGGCTGATACCAAATGAGAGACTCCCCCCTGGGCACACAGAAGACTGGGCGACTTGGAAGGCGCTGAACAGACTGCGCTCTGGCACCACGAGATGCAGAGCCAACCTCAAGAAATGGGGCCACAAAGTGGAATCCACGACATGCGAGTGCGGAGAAGAGCAAACCACTGACCACCTGCTGCAATGCAACCTGAGCCCTGCCACATGCACGAGGGAGGACCTTCTTGCAGCAACACCAGAGGCACTCCAAGGGGACAGATACTGGTCAAAGGACATTTAATCAACTACCAAACTTGCAAATTTTGTGTTTTGTCTGTTTGTTTGTTTTGTTCTGTTAGAAATGTAATACAATTGACTGGTTGCCCTGACACATGAAATAAATAAACAGAGGAAGAAAAAGGAACAGAACAGAGAGAGAAAGAAATACTGAAACGGAAGGATAAGGTGAGAGAGGACATTGTGGACAGGGGAAAAGAAAGTTTAGTTTCGTGTGTTCGTATGTGTGTGTTTGCGTCAATTTGAGACTATAAAACATATAATTCAGAAACTGTCAAATATGGCTCTCACTTGACTTGTGTGCAGACCACCCCTTAGTTCTTCTGCAGGACAAACTACTGTATTTTTATCTCCTCATTTCTAGTATTTGGGAAGTAAAAAGAGGAGAGATATTTGTTGAGCCGTGGGGGTCAACAAAGCCACAAATGAAGGTTTGGTAGTACCACAAACATACATACCAGGGTATGACTCTGTGGCATGTACTTTCTTTCCCCCCAGACGGTCTCGATTGTGGGAGACGAAGTCTTCCGCTTCGCCCTGTCCCTTTACCCAGAAGCCACTGCGGGAGATGCCTACACGGACATGTCCAAGGTGGACAGCCGAATGTCGTTGAAAGTGGGCTGCATCCAGATCGTGTACCTGCACCAATTCTTTATGTCACTGCTGGTAAGAGACGAGCCTTCATTTCCTGCTTATGTGGGCTTTCAAAGTAGGTTCTTCCTAAAAACTATTCAAAAAATTGCTGGAGAGGATGTCAAGAATCAGGAACATATATACATATGTGGTGACAGACACTCAGAGGCTATTTTTTCCGGAGGGTATTCTGGTTACCAGGGGGGCCATCACTTCACCATCCATTTGTGACACTGATGAAGTACTTCCTCATTCTTTGCATGCTTCCTGGAGATCTTTAGGGCCTCGTAAATCAGTTAAATTAGCCTCCCCACATAAGTGGTACCTAAATTCAATGCGATAGACACACAACATATATAGACAGACACTCAGAGGCTATTTAACATTCCAGCTTCTGGCCACCAAGGGAGCTGTCGCGTCACCGTCCATTTGTGACACTGATGAAGTACTTTCTCATCCTTTGCATGCTTCCTGGAGATCTTTAGGGCCTCGTAAATCAGTTAAATTAGCCTCCCCACATAAGTGGTACCTAAATTCAATGCGATAGACACACAACATATATAGACAGACACTCAGAGGCTATTTAACATTCCAGCTTCTGGCCACCAGGGGAGCTGTTGCGTCACCGTCCGTTTGTGACGCTGATGAAGTACTTCCTCATTCTTTGCATGCTTGCTGGAGATTTATATGGCCTAAATTAGTTAAATTAGCCTCCATATAATGGCAAACATTCAATGCCATAGACACACAACATATATAGACAGACACAGAGGCTATTTAACATTCCAGCATTTTCATGAGGGTATTCTGGCCACCAGGGGATCTGTCGCTTCACCGTCCATTTGTGACACTGATGAAGTACTTCCTCATTCTTTGCATGTTTGCTGGAGATTTTTATGGCCTCGTAAATCAGTTAAATTAGCCTCCCCACATAAGTGGTACCTAAATTCAATGCAATAGACACACAACATATATAGACAGAGACTCAGAGGCTATTTAACATTCCAGTTTCTGGCCACCAAGGGAGCTGTCGCGTCACCGTCCATTTGTGACACTGATGAAGTACTTCCTCATTCTTTGCATGCTTCCTGGAGATCTTTAGGGCCTCGTAAATCAGTTAAATTAGCCTCCCCACATAAGTGGTACCTAAATTCAATGCAATAGACACACAACATATATAGACAGACACTCAGAGGCTATTTAACATTCCAGCTTCTGGCCACTAGGGGAGCTGTCGCTTCATCGTCCATTTGTGACACTGATGAAGTACTTCCTCATCCTTTGCATGCTTCCTGGAGATCTTTAGGGCCTCGTAAATCAGTTAAATTAGCCTCCCCAGATAAGTGGTACCTAAATTCAATGCAATAGACACACAACATATATAGACAGAGACTCAGAGGCTATTTAACATTCCAGCTTCTGGCCACCAAGGGAGCTGTCGCGTCACCGTCCATTTGTGACACTGATGAAGTACTTCCTCATTCTTTGCATACTTCCTGGAGATTTTTATGGCCTTGTAAATTAGTTAAATTAGCCTCCCCACATAAGTGGTACCTAAATTCAATGCCATAGACACACAACATATAGAGACAGACACTCAAGAGGCTATTTAACATTCCAGCTTCTGGCCACCAGGGGAGGTGTCGCTTCCTCATTCTTTGCATTCTTCCTGGAGATTTTTATGGCCTCGAAAATCAGTTAAATTAGCCCCCCCACATAAGTGATACCTAAATTCAATGCCATAGACACACAACATATATAGACAGACACTCAGAGGCTATTTAACATTCCAGCTTCTGGCCACCAAGGGAGCTGTCGCGTCACCGTCCATTTGTGACACTGATAAAGTACTTCCTCATTCCTTGCATGCTTCCTGGAGATTTTTATGGCCTCGTAAATCAGTTAAATTAGCCTCCCCACATAAGTGATACCTAAATGTGTCAATGCCATAGACACACAACATATATAGACAGACACTCAGAGGCTATTTTACATTCCAGCTTCTGGCCACCAGGGGAGCTGTCGCGTCACCGTCCAGATGTCACACTGATGAAGTACTTCCTCATTCTTTGCAAGCTTGCTGGAGATTTTTATGGCGTCATAAATTAGCCTCCCTGCATAAGTGGTACCTAAATTTCCTACTTGACAGATGCAACTGTCTTTCCGGCTGCAAAGGTCGACAGCAAGCTACACAAATTGGTCGGAAGCTCACTCTGACCCGGGCTGGCTTCGAACTCATGACCTTTCGGTCATTAGTGATCTTAATGCAGCTGACTCCCATCCATAGTCCCGGTTATTATATTTTTTTACTTACATCCAAATTCAACTTAAGAACAGGCCTATAGAACCTCTCTTGTTTGTAACTTGGGGACTGCCCTTAATCTATATATATAAAATCCAAAAGGGCGTAGTTAGGGACCGCAAAATGCGAAAACCCCCGGACGAAAAATCACCAAATTTAGTGATTTGAGTATATGAGGGAAGAAAGGTAGGAAAGAAAGAAGAAAGAGAGAGTAGGAGCATGGGAAAGAAGGGAGAAAGGAAGGAAGGAAGAAGAAAGGAGCGGAAGGGAAGGTGTAGGAACGAAGGAAAGGAAGGAAGAAAGAAAAGAAGAAAAGGGAAGGGAGGAAAGAAAGCAAATGAAGAAGAGAAAAGGAAGGAAGGAAGGAAGGAAGGAAGGAAGGAAGGAAGGAAGGAAGGAAAGAAAAGGCAGTATGGAACTACAGATTTAGTGATTTGAGTATATGAGGGAAGAAAGGTAGGAAAGAAAGAAGAAAGAGAGAGTAGGAGCATGGGAAAGAAGGGAGAAAGGAAGGAAGGAAGAAGAAAGGAGCGGAAGGGAAGGTGTAGGAACGAAGGAAAGGAAGGAAGAAAGGACAGAAGAAAAGGGAAGGGAGGAAAGAAAGCAAATGAAGAAGAGAAAGGGAAGGAAGGAAGGAAAAAAGGAAGGAAGGAAGGAAAGAAAAGGCAGTATGGAACTACAGATTTAGTGATTTGAGTATATGAGGGAAGAAAGGTAGGAAAGAAAGAAGAAAGAGAGAGTAGGAGCATGGGAAAGAAGGGAGAAAGGAAGGAAGGAAGAAGAAAGGAGCGGAAGGGAAGGTGTAGGAACGAAGGAAAGGAAGGAAGAAAGGACAGAAGAAAAGGGAAGGGAGGAAAGAAAGCAAATGAAGAAGAGAAAGGGAAGGAAGGAAGGAAAGGAAGGAAGGAAGGAAGGAAGGAAGGAAAGAAAAGGCAGTATGGAACTACAGATTTAGTGATTTGAGTATATGAGGGAAGAAAGGTAGGAAAGAAAGAAGAAAGAGAGAGTAGGAGCATGGGAAAGAAGGGAGAAAGGAAGGAAGGAAGGAAGGAAGAAGAAAGGAGCGGAAGGGAAGGTGTAGGAACGAAGGAAAGGAAGGAAGAAAGAAAAGAAGAAAAGGGAAGGGGAGAAAGGGAAGGAAGGAAAGAAGGAAGGAAGGAAGGAAGGAAGGAAGGAAGGAAAGAAAAGGCAGTATGGAACTACAGATTTAGTGATTTGAGTATATGAGAGAAGAAAGGTAGGAAAGAAAGAAGAAAGAGAGTAGGAGCATGGGAAAGAAGGAAGAAAGGAAGGAAGGAAGAAGAAAGGAGCGGAAGGGAAGGTGTAGGAATGAAGGAAAGGAAGGAAGAAAGAACAGAAGAAAAGGGAAGGGAGGAAAGAAAGCAAATGAAGAAGAGAAAGGAAGGAAGGAAGGAAGGAAGGAAGGAAGGAAGTACAGATTTAGTGATTTGAGTATATGAGGAAAGAAAGGTAGGAAAGAAAGAAGAAAGAGAGAGTAGGAGCATGGGAAAGAAGGAAGGAAGGAAGGAAGGAAGGAAGGAAGGAAGGAAGGAAGGAAGAAGAAAGGAGCGGAAGGGAAGGTGTAGGAACGAAGGAAAGGAAGGAAGAAAGGACAGAAGAAAAGGGAAGGGAGGAAAGAAAGCAAATGAAGAAGAGAAAGGGAAGGAAGGAAAAAAGGAAGGAAGGAAGGAAGGAAGGAAAGAGAAGGAAGGAAGGAACTACAGATTTAGTGATTTGAGTATATGAGGAAAGAAAGGTAGGAAAGAAAGAAGAAAGAGAGAGTAGGAGCATGGGAAAGAAGGGAGAAAGGAAGGAAGGAAGAAGAAAGGAGCGGAAGGGAAGGTGTAGGAACGAAGGAAAGGAAGTAAGAAAGAAAAGAAGAAAAGGGAAGGGAGGAAAGCAAATGAAGAAGAGAAAGGGAAGGAAGGAAAGAAGGAAGGAAGGAAGGAAGGAAGGAAGGAAGGAAAGAAAAGGCAGTAAGAAGAAGTTGGGAAAGTATATGAGGGAAGAAAGGTAGGAAAGAAAGAAGAAAGAGAGGGTAGGAGCATGGGAAAGAAGGGAGAAAGAAGGAAGGAAGAAGGAAGGAAGAAGAGAAGGTGTAGGAACGAAGGAAAGGAAGGAAGAAAGGACAGAAGAAAAGGGAAGGGAGGAAAGAAAGCAAATGAAGAAGAGAAAGGGAAGGAAGGAAAAAAGGAAGGAAGGAAGGAAGGAAAGAAAAGGCAGTATGGAACTACAGATTTAGTGATTTGAGTATATGAGGGAAGAAAGGTAGGAAAGAAAGAAGAAAGAGAGAGTAGGAGCATGGGAAAGAAGGGAGAAAGGAAGGAAGGAAGGAAGGAAGAAGAAAGGAGCGGAAGGGAAGGTGTAGGAACGAAGGAAAGGAAGGAAGAAAGGACAGAAGAAAAGGGAAGGGAGGAAAGAAAGCAAATGAAGAAGAGAAAGGGAAGGAAGGAAAAAAGGAAGGAAGGAAGGAAGGAAAGAAAAGGCAGTATGGAACTACAGATTTAGTGATTTGAGTATATGAGAGAAGAAAGGTAGGAAAGAAAGAAGAAAGAGAGAGTAGGAGCATGGGAAAGAAGGGAGAAAGGAAGGAAGGAAGAAGAAAGGAGCGGAAGGGAAGGTGTAGGAACGAAGGAAAGGAAGTAAGAAAGAAAAGAAGAAAAGGGAAGGGAGGAAAGCAAATGAAGAAGAGAAAGAAGGAAGGAAGGAAGGAAGGAAGGAAGGAAGGAAGGAAGGAAGGAAAGAAAAGGCAGTATGGAACTACAGATTTAGTGATTTGAGTATATGAGAGAAGAAAGGTAGGAAAGAAAGAAGAAAGAGAGAGTAGGAGCATGGGAAAGAAGGGAGAAAGGAAGGAAGGAAGAAGAAAGGAGCGGAAGGGAAGGTGTAGGAACGAAGGAAAGGAAGGAAGAAAGAAAGAAGAAAAGGGAAGGGAGGAAAGCAAATGAAGAAGAGAAAGGGAAGGAAAGAAGGAAGGAAGGAAGGAAGGAAGGAAGGAAGGAAGGAAGTACAGATTTAGTGATTTGAGTATATGAGGAAAGAAAGGTAGGAAAGAAAGAAGAAAGAGAGAGTAGGAGCATGGGAAAGAAGGAAGGAAGGAAGGAAGGAAGAAGAAAGGAGCGGAAGGGAAGGTGTAGGAACGAAGGAAAGGAAGGAAGAAAGGACAGAAGAAAAGGGAAGGGAGGAAAGAAAGCAAATGAAGAAGAGAAAGGGAAGGAAGGAAAAAAGGAAGGAAGGAAGGAAGGAAAGAAAAGGCAGTATGGAACTACAGATTTAGTGATTTGAGTATATGAGGGAAGAAAGGTAGGAAAGAAAGAAGAAAGAGAGAGTAGGAGCATGGGAAAGAAGGGAGAAAGGAAGGAAGGAAGAAGAAAGGAGCGGAAGGGAAGGTGTAGGAACGAAGGAAAGGAAGGAAGAAAGGATAGAAGAAAAGGGAAGGGAGGAAAGAAAGCAAATGAAGAAGAGAAAAGGAAGGAAGGAAGGAAGGAAGGAAGGAAGGAAAGAAAGAAAAGGCAGTATGGAACTACAGATTTAGTGATTTGAGTATATGAGGGAAGAAAGGTAGGAAAGAAAGAAGAAAGAGAGAGTAGGAGCATGGGAAAGAAGGGAGAAAGGAAGGAAGGAAGAAGAAAGGAGCGGAAGGGAAGGTGTAGGAACGAAGGAAAGGAAGGAAGAAAGGACAGAAGAAAAGGGAAGGGAGGAAAGAAAGCAAATGAAGAAGAGAAAGGGAAGGAAGGAAAAAAGGAAGGAAGGAAGGAAGGAAAGAAAAGGCAGTATGGAACTACAGATTTAGTGATTTGAGTATATGAGGGAAGAAAGGTAGGAAAGAAAGAAGAAAGAGAGAGTAGGAGCATGGGAAAGAAGGGAGAAAGGAAGGAAGGAAGAAGAAAGGAGCGGAAGGGAAGGTGTAGGAACGAAGGAAAGGAAGTAAGAAAGAAAAGAAGAAAAGGGAAGGGAGGAAAGCAAATGAAGAAGAGAAAGGGAAGGAAGGAAAGAAGGAAGGAAGGAAGGAAGGAAGGAAGGAAGGAAGGAAAGAAAAGGCAGTATGGAACTACAGATTTAGTGATTTGAGTATATGAGAGAAGAAAGGTAGGAAAGAAAGAAGAAAGAGAGAGTAGGAGCATGGGAAAGAAGGGAGGAAGGAAGGAAGGAAGAAGAAAGGAGCGGAAGGGAAGGTGTAGGAACGAAGAAAAGGAAGGAAGAAAGGACAGAAGAAAAAGAAAAGGGAAGGGAGGAAAGAAAGCAAATGAAGAAGAGAAAGGGAAGGAAGGAAGGAAGGAAGGAACTACAGATTTAGTGATTTGAGTATATGAGGAAAGAAAGGTAGGAAAGAAAGAAGAAAGAGAGAGTAGGAGCATGGGAAAGAAGGGAGAAAGGAAGGAAGAAGAAAGGAGCGGAAGGGAAGGTGTAGGAACGAAGGAAAGGAAGGAAGAAAGAAAAGAAGAAAAGGGAAGGGAGGAAAGAAAGCAAGAAGAGAAAGGGAAGGAAGGAAAAAAGGAAGGAAGGAAGGAAGGAAAGAAAAGGCAGTATGGAACTACAGATTTAGTGATTTGAGTATATGAGGGAAGAAAGGTAGGAAAGAAAGAAGAAAGAGAGAGTAGGAGCATGGGAAAGAAGGGAGAAAGGAAGGAAGGAAGGAAGGAAGGAAGAAGAAAGGAGCGGAAGGGAAGGTGTAGGAACGAAGGAAAGGAAGTAAGAAAGAAAAGAAGAAAAGGGAAGGGAGGAAAGCAAATGAAGAAGAGAAAGGGAAGGAAGGAAAGAAGGAAGGAAGGAAGGAAGGAAGGAAGGAAGGAAAGAAAAGGCAGTATGGAACTACAGATTTAGTGATTTGAGTATATGAGAGAAGAAAGGTAGGAAAGAAAGAAGAAAGAGAGTAGGAGCATGGGAAAGAAGGAAGAAAGGAAGGAAGGAAGAAGAAAGGAGCGGAAGGGAAGGTGTAGGAATGAAGGAAAGGAAGGAAGAAAGAACAGAAGAAAAGGGAAGGGAGGAAAGAAAGCAAATGAAGAAGAAGGAAGGAAGGAAGGAAGGAAGGAAGGAAGGAAGGAAGTACAGATTTAGTGATTTGAGTATATGAGGAAAGAAAGGTAGGAAAGAAAGAAGAAAGAGAGAGTAGGAGCATGGGAAAGAAGGGAGAAAGGAAGGAAGGAAGGAAAGGAAGGAAGAAGAAAGGAGCGGAAGGGAAGGTGTAGGAACGAAGGAAAGGAAGGAAGAAAGGACAGAAGAAAAGGGAAGGGAGGAAAGAAAGCAAATGAAGAAGAGAAAGGGAAGGAAGGAAAAAAGGAAGGAAGGAAGGAAGGAAAGAAAAGGCAGTATGGAACTACAGATTTAGTGATTTGAGTATATGAGGGAAGAAAGGTAGGAAAGAAAGAAGAAAGAGAGAGTAGGAGCATGGGAAAGAAGGGAGAAAGGAAGGAAGGAAGAAGAAAGGAGCGGAAGGGAAGGTGTAGGAACGAAGGAAAGGAAGTAAGAAAGAAAAGAAGAAAAGGGAAGGGAGGAAAGCAAATGAAGAAGAGAAAGGGAAGGAAGGAAAGAAGGAAGGAAGGAAGGAAGGAAGGAAGGAAGGAAGGAAAGAAAAGGCAGTATGGAACTACAGATTTAGTGATTTGAGTATATGAGAGAAGAAAGGTAGGAAAGAAAGAAGAAAGAGAGAGTAGGAGCATGGGAAAGAAGGGAGAAAGGAAGGAGAAGGAAGAAGAAAGGAGCGGAAGGGAAGGTGTAGGAACGAAGGAAAGGAAGGAAGAAAGGACAGAAGAAAAGGGAAGGGAGGAAAGAAAGCAAATGAAGAAGAGAAAGGGAAGGAAGGAAGGAAGGAAGGAAGGAAGGAAAGAAAAGGCAGTATGGAACTACAGATTTAGTGATTTGAGTATATGAGGGAAGAAAGGTAGGAAAGAAAGAAGAAAGAGAGAGTAGGAGCATGGGAAAGAAGGGAGAAAGGAAGGAAGGAAGAAGAAAGGAGCGGAAGGGAAGGTGTAGGAACGAAGGAAAGGAAGTAAGAAAGAAAAGAAGAAAAGGGAAGGGAGGAAAGCAAATGAAGAAGAGAGGGAAGGAAGGAAGGAAGGAAGGAAGGAAGGAAAGGAAGGAAGGAAGGAAGGAAGGAAGGAAGGAAGGAAGGAAGGAAAGAAAAGGCAGTATGGAACTACAGATTTAGTGATTTGAGTATATGAGGGAAGAAAGGTAGGAAAGAAAGAAGAAAGAGAGAGTAGGAGCATGGGAAAGAAGGGAGAAAGGAAGGAAGGAAGAAGAAAGGAGCGGAAGGGAAGGTGTAGGAATGAAGGAAAGGAAGGAAGAAAGAACAGAAGAAAAGGGAAGGGAGGAAAGAAAGCAAATGAAGAAGAGAAAGGGAAGGAAGGAAGGAAGGAAGGAAGGAAGGAAGGAAGGAAGTACAGATTTAGTGATTTGAGTATATGAGGAAAGAAAGGTAGGAAAGAAAGAAGAAAGAGAGAGTAGGAGCATGGGAAAGAAGGAAGGAAGGAAGGAAAGGAAGGAAGGAAGAAGAAAGGAGCGGAAGGGAAGGTGTAGGAACGAAGGAAAGGAAGGAAGAAAGGACAGAAGAAAAGGGAAGGGAGGAAAGAAAGCAAATGAAGAAGAGAAAGGGAAGGAAGGAAAAAAGGAAGGAAGGAAGGAAGGAAAGAAAAGGCAGTATGGAACTACAGATTTAGTGATTTGAGTATATGAGGGAAGAAAGGTAGGAAAGAAAGAAGAAAGAGAGAGTAGGAGCATGGGAAAGAAGGGAGAAAGGAAGGAAGGAAGAAGAAAGGAGCGGAAGGGAAGGTGTAGGAACGAAGGAAAGGAAGTAAGAAAGAAAAGAAGAAAAGGGAAGGGAGGAAAGCAAATGAAGAAGAGAAAGGGAAGGAAGGAAAGAAGGAAGGAAGGAAGGAAGGAAGGAAGGAAGGAAGGGAAGGAAAGAAAAGGCAGTATGGAACTACAGATTTAGTGATTTGAGTATATGAGGGAAGAAAGGTAGGAAAGAAAGAAGAAAGAGAGAGTAGGAGCATGGGAAAGAAGGGAGAAAGGAAGGAAGGAAGAAGAAAGGAGCGGAAGGGAAGGTGTAGGAACGAAGGAAAGGAAGGAAGAAAGGACAGAAGAAAAGGGAAGGGAGGAAAGAAAGCAAATGAAGAAGAGAAAGGGAAGGAAGGAAAAAAGGAAGGAAGGAAGGAAGGAAAGAAAAGGCAGTATGGAACTACAGATTTAGTGATTTGAGTATATGAGAGAAGAAAGGTAGGAAAGAAAGAAGAAAGAGAGAGTAGGAGCATGGGAAAGAAGGGAGAAAGGAAGGAAGGAAGAAGAAAGGAGCGGAAGGGAAGGTGTAGGAATGAAGGAAAGGAAGGAAGAAAGAACAGAAGAAAAGGGAAGGGAGGAAAGAAAGCAAATGAAGAAGAGAAAGGGAAGGAAGGAAGGAAGGAAGGAAGGAAGGAAGGAAGGAAGGAAGGAAGGAAGGAAGGAAGGAAGGAAGGAAGGAAGTACAGATTTAGTGATTTGAGTATATGAGGAAAGAAAGGTAGGAAAGAAAGAAGAAAGAGAGAGTAGGAGCATGGGAAAGAAGGAAGGAAGGAAGGAAGGAAGAAGAAAGGAGCGGAAGGGAAGGTGTAGGAACGAAGGAAAGGAAGGAAGAAAGGACAGAAGAAAAGGCAAGGGAGGAAAGAAAGCAAATGAAGAAGAGAAAGGAAGGGAAGGGAAGGAAGGAAGGAAGGAAGGAAGAAAAGGGAAGGAAAGTTAGGAAAGTATATGAGGGAAGAAAGGTAGGAAAGAAAGAAGAAAGAGAGAGTAGGAGCATGGGAAAGAAGGGAGAAAGGAAGGAAGGAAGAAGAAAGGAGCGGAAGGGAAGGTGTAGGAACGAAGGAAAGGAAGTAAGAAAGAAAAGAAGAAAAGGGAAGGGAGGAAAGCAAATGAAGAAGAGAAAGGGAAGGAAGGAAAGAAGGAAGGAAGGAAGGAAGGAAGGAAGGAAGGAAGGAAGGAAGGAAGGAAGGAAAGAAAAGGCAGTATGGAACTACAGATTTAGTGATTTGAGTATATGAGGGAAGAAAGGTAGGAAAGAAAGAAGAAAGAGAGAGTAGGAGCATGGGAAAGAAGGGAGAAAGGAAGGAAGGAAGAAGAAAGGAGCGGAAGGGAAGGTGTAGGAACGAAGGAAAGGAAGGAAGAAAGAAAAGAAGAAAAGGGAAGGGAGGAAAGAAAGCAAATGAAGAAGAGAAAAGGAAGGAAGGAAGGAAAGAAGGAAGAAGGAAGGAAGGAAGGAAGGAAGGAAGGAAGAAGAAGGAAGAGAGGAAAGAAGGAGGAAAGAAAGAAGAAAGAAGAGAGAGGAAGGAAAGAGGAGAAGGAAGGGAAGATGTAGGAACGAAGGAAAGGAAGGAAGAAAGGACAGAAGAAAAGGGAAGGGAGGAAAGAAAGCAAATGAAGAAGAGAAAGGGAAGGAAGGAAAAAAGGAAGGAAGGAAGGAAGGAAAGAAAAGGCAGTATGGAACTACAGATTTAGTGATTTGAGTATATGAGGGAAGAAAGGTAGGAAAGAAAGAAGAAAGAGAGAGTAGGAGCATGGGAAAGAAGGGAGAAAGGAAGGAAGGAAGAAGAAAGGAGCGGAAGGGAAGGTGTAGGAACGAAGGAAAGGAAGGAAGAAAGGATAGAAGAAAAGGGAAGGGAGGAAAGAAAGCAAATGAAGAAGAGAAAAGGAAGGAAGGAAGGAAGGAAGGAAGGAAGGAAAGAAAGAAAAGGCAGTATGGAACTACAGATTTAGTGATTTGAGTATATGAGGGAAGAAAGGTAGGAAAGAAAGAAGAAAGAGAGAGTAGGAGCATGGGAAAGAAGGGAGAAAGGAAGGAAGGAAGAAGAAAGGAGCGGAAGGGAAGGTGTAGGAACGAAGGAAAGGAAGGAAGAAAGGACAGAAGAAAAGGGAAGGGAGGAAAGAAAGCAAATGAAGAAGAGAAAGGGAAGGAAGGAAAAAAGGAAGGAAGGAAGGAAGGAAAGAAAAGGCAGTATGGAACTACAGATTTAGTGATTTGAGTATATGAGGGAAGAAAGGTAGGAAAGAAAGAAGAAAGAGAGAGTAGGAGCATGGGAAAGAAGGGAGAAAGGAAGGAAGGAAGAAGAAAGGAGCGGAAGGGAAGGTGTAGGAACGAAGGAAAGGAAGAAAGAAAGAAAAGAAGAAAAGGGAAGGGAGGAAAGCAAATGAAGAAGAGAAAGGGAAGAAGAAGGAAGAAGGAAGGAAGGAAGGAAGGAAGGAAGGAAAGAAAAGGCAGTATGGAACTACAGATTTAGTGATTTGAGTATATGAGAGAAGAAAGGTAGGAAAGAAAGAAGAAAGAGAGAGTAGGAGCATGGGAAAGAAGGGAGAAAGGAAGGAAGGAAGAAGAAAGGAGCGGAAGGGAAGGTGTAGGAACGAAGGAAAGGAAGGAAGAAAGGACAGAAGAAAAGGGAAGGGAGGAAAGAAAGCAAATGAAGAAGAGAAAGGGAAGGAAGGAAGGAAGTACAGATTTAGTGATTTGAGTATATGAGGAAAGAAAGGTAGGAAAGAAAGAAGAAAGAGAGAGTAGGAGCATGGGAAAGAAGGGAGAAAGGAAGGAAGGAAGAAGAAAGGAGTGGAAGGGAAGGTGTAGGAAGGAAGAAAGAAAAGAAGAAAAGGGAAGGGAGGAAAGAAAGCAAATGAAGAAGAGAAAGGGAAGGAAGGAAGGAAGGAAGGAAGGAAGGAAGGAAGGAAGGAAGGAAGGAAGGAAGGAAGGAAGGAAGAAGGAAGGAAAGAAGTATGGAACTACAGAGCGAAGGAAGGAAGGAAAGAGAAAGAGAGGGAAGAAAGGAGACAAAGAGGAAGGAAAAGAAAAAGGGAGGAGGAAGGAAAGAGGTACAGAAGGAAGGAGGAGAGAAGGAAAGAAAAAAGGGAAGGGAGGAAAGACGCAGCAAAGGAAAAAGAGAAAGAAGGAGAGAAAGACGCAGGGAAGGAAATAAATAAGGAGAAGGAAGGATGAAAGCAAACAGCTAAGGAAGGAAGTAAACAGGTAGAGAAGGAAGAAAGGAAAGAAGAAAACGGAATGAAGGAAGGAGTGAAAGAAGCAGAGAAAGAGGGAGAGAAGGCTGGCCACAGCAAGGCGTGGCGGGTAAAGCTAGTTTGTTTATAAATGGGAGTCAGGTCATTAGATGCGGCAGTGGGATATGCCCAGAAGGACTGTTCTTGATGTCTCTGCATCTTTTTAGAACTTCCTGAACCACTTCCAAGCTGCCAAGGAGGCTCTGAGCACGGCCACCGCTCAAGCCGCCGAACGGGCCGCCTCCAGTATGAAGGACTTTGCCCAGAAGAGCTTCCGCCTTTCCATGGAGGTCAACCTGAAGGCGCCCGTGATCGTGATCCCGCAGTCGTCCGTCTCACGCAACGCCTTAGTGGCCGACCTGGGCCTCATCACCGTCCAGAACGCCTTCCGCCTGGTCCCAGGAGACACGGCAACGCACCCGCCCATCATCGACAACATGGAGATCCAGCTGACTCAGCTGAAGATCTCCAGGTACGAATGGTGTGCTTGTGTTTCAAAGTCAGGGACGCACAATTAAACAGAAAATATAGTTTCCAAACCAGGAACAGGAAATGGTTCAAATTTGGTTACATAGTACTATCATCATCTATCTATCTATATATATAAAAACTAGCTATACCCGCCACGCGTTGCTGTGGCAAACCTTCCCTCCCTCTTTCTCCTCCTTCTTTTTCTCTCCTTCCTTCCTCCCCTCCCTCTTTCCTTCTTCCCTCTTTTTCTTTTCTTTCTTTTCTTTCTTTCTTTCTCTCCTTCCTTTTTCTTTCCTTCCTTCCCCTTCCTTCCTCCTTCCTTCCTTCCTTCCTTCCTTCCTTCCCTCCCTCCCTCCCTCCCTCCCTCCCTCCCTCTTTCGTTTCTTCTCTCCTTCCTTCCTTCTTTCACTTTTTTATTTCCATCTCTCTTTCCTTCCTTCTCTACCTTTCTTTCTTTCCTTCTCTCCTTCTTTCCCTCCTCCTCTCTTTCCTTCCTTCTCTATCTTCCTTTCTTTCCTTCTCTCCTTCTTTCCCTCCTCTCCCCTTCCTTCCTTCTCTACCCTGCTTTCTTTCTTTCCTTCCCTCCTTCTTTCCCTCTTTCTCTCCCTCCTTTCTTCTCTATCTTTCTTTCTTTCCTTCTTTCTCTCCTTCCCTCCTTCTTTCTCTCCCCTTCCTTCCTTCTCTACCCTTCTTTCTTTCCTTCCCTCCTTTCCCTCTTTCTCTCCTTCCTTCTCTATCTTCCTTTCTTTCCTTCTTTCTCTCCTTCCCTCTTTATTTCCCTCTTTCTCTCCTTCCTTCTTTCTCTACCTTTCTTTCTTTCCCTCCTTCCTTCCCCCTTTCTGTGTATGTGTTTTGTGTGTGTATATGCATATATGTGTGTTTGTGTATCTATATGTGGTTTTGCACATGCGTTGTAATTTTTGGGTGTTTTGTTCTGGCTTTTTAAGTCCCTTCTGCTATGTTTTTCTGTGTTTTTATGAGTGAAGGACATACATTGGGTTGTTAAGTGTCTTGTGTCCAAATTTGGTGTCAATTCCCCCAGTGGTTTTTGAGTTCTGTTAATCCCACAAACGAATATTACATTTTTATTAAGTCAGTGTTTCTCAACCTGGGGGTCGGGACCCCTGGGGGGGTCGCAAGGAGGTATCAGAGGGGTCGCCAAAGACCATCAGAAAATACAGTATTTTCTGTTGGTCGTGGAAGTTCTGAGTGGGAAGTTTGGCCAAATTCTATCGTTGGTGAGGTTCAGAATGCTCTTTGATTGTAGGTGAACTATCAATCCCACTAAATACAACTCCTAAATGTCAAAGTCTCTCCCCCCCCGAAAAAAAATCCATCTGTGTTCATATTTGGGGACATGGAATATTCATACCAAGTTTGGTCCAGATACATCATTGTTTGAGTCCACAGTGCTCTCTGGATGTAGGTGAACTAAAACTCCAAAACTTGAGGTCAGTACCCACCAAACCCTTCCAGTATTTTATGTTTGTTGTGGGAGTTCTGTGTGCCAAGTTCGGTTCAATTCCATCATTGGTGGAGCTCAGAATGCTCTTTGATTGTAATGAACTATAAATCCCAACAACTACAACTCCCAAAAGTCAAGATCTATTTCCCCCAGATTCCACCAGTGTTCACATTTGCACATATTAAGTATTTGTGCCAAGTTTGGTCCAGATCCACCATTGCGTAAATCCACAGTGCTCTCTGGATATAGGTGAACTACAACTCCCAAATTCAAGGTCAGTGCCCACCAAACCCTTCCAGTGTTTTCCGTTGGTCATGAGAGTTCTGTGTGACAAACTAGGTTCAAATCCATTGCTGATGGAGTTCAGAATGCTCTTTGATAGGTGAACTATAAATCCCCGAAACTACAACTCCCAAATTACAAAATCAATCCCCCCCCCCCCAACCCCACTAGCATTTACATGTGGGTGCATTGGGTATTTGTGCACAGTTTGGTCCAGTGAATGAAAATACATCTTGCATATCTGATATTTACATTACGATTTATAATAGTAGTAAAATGACTGTTATGAAGTAACAATAAAAACAATGTTATGGTTGGGGGTCACCACAACATGAGGGACTGTATTAAGGGGTCACGGCATTAGGAAGGTTGAGAACCACTGCTCTAGATTGTGCTCTGGCTGTGTGGGACGGCCCAGGAAGCCACCCCAAGAACGGGAAGGTGTGCCCAAAGACATCCATTGCCATGCCAAAGCAGTGGCGGGAGCGATGGGGTAGAGGGAGGGGCGCGGGGGAAGCTGGGAAATGGAGTCCTTCCTCATTGTATTCCTCCCGAGACCTCTGCACATGCTCCGTGTTTTTAGGGTGTTGTGCGTTTGTGTTGTTGCGTATTGGTGTTTTGAGGGTTGTTGGTCATTCCTTGGCGGAAGAGGAACTGGCAGGCCAAATTTGGTGAAATTTCATCCAGTGGTTTCTCCGTTTTTGACCGCCTAATTACGACCTTAAGCTTCTTATATATATAGATGTTCTGTGCATAATGAGTACCTTAAAAACAAAAGAACCAATGAACGAAATCACACCAAATTTGGCAACAAAACGTCTCACTACACAAGGAGTGACCATCACTCAAAAAATTATGATTTTGCCATTTGGGAGTTGTAGTTGCTGGGATTTATAGTTCACCTACAAAGAGCATTCTGAACTCCACCAACAATGGAATTGATCCAATCTTGGCACGCGGAACTCCCATGACCACCGGAAATACTGGAGTTTTGGAGTTGTAGTTCACCTACATGCCGAGATTGCTGTAGGCGAACTACAACTTTCATTTTGGAGTTGTAGTTCACCTACATCTCAAACAGGACTCCCATGACCAACAGAAAACACTAGAAGTGTTTGGTGGGCACTGACCTTGCATTAGGGAGTTGTAGTTCACCTACATCTAGAGAGCACTGAGGACTCAAACAATGAAAAATCTAGACTAAATACTCAGTATGTCCAAATACAAACACAGATGGAGTTTGGGGAAAATAGACCTTGCCATTTGGGAGTTGTAGTTGCTGGGATTTATAGTCACCTACAATCAAAGAGCATTCTGGACTCCATCAACAATGGAATTGAACCAAACTTGGCACACAGAACTCCCGTGACCAACAAAAAGTATTGGAAGAGTTTGGTGGGCATGGACCTTGAGTTTGGGAGTTGTGGTTCACCTACATCCAGAGAGCACTGTGGACTCAAACAATGATGGATCTGGACCAAACTTGGCACGAATATTCCATATGCCCAAATATGAACACAGATGGAGTTTGGAGGAAATAGACCTTGGCATTTGCGAGTCGTAGTTACTGGGATTTATAGTTCACCTACAATCAAAGACCATTCTGAATGAACCCCACGAATTACAGAACTGGGGCAAACTTCCCACACAGAACCCCATGACCAACAGAAAATACTTAAGGCCATCCAATCCATCTCCCTTCATCAGGGCAAGTAAACGTAATCAAAGTCCTCCTGACAAAGAGCCACCCAGTCATAAATATAGATAGAAAGATGGATGGATGGAGAGATAGATAGATATGATTCACAGACAGATATAGTATCATAGATTTGAAAGGGACCCCTAAAGAAGGACAATGATATCTTGCATGTTCCAGGGTGGGCAAACCAGACACTCTCCACATCAACACTGGCAAAGAAACAACAAGAAATACTGTTGACCCACAAGCAGAAAGACATTACATATCTTAGAAACCAGCACCTTCTCATTACTTTAATTTCCAGATCAACAGACTGGGCCACAGCAACGCCTGGCAGGGGACCGCTAGTCTATATATATATAAATGCTCTGTGCATAATGGGTACCTTAAAAACAAAAGAACCAATGAACGAAATCACACCAAATTTGGCAACAAACTGTTTCCTCAATTAATGTAATTCTATATTTATTTTGTATTACCAGTAGCTGCTGCATTTCCCACCCTCGACTTATACTCGAGTCAATAAGTTTTCCCATTTTTTTGGTGGTAAACTTAGGTGCCTCAGTTTATATTCGGGTCGACTTATACTCAAGTATATACGGTATATACCAAATTACCAAGGTAAAATCATATTCAACTCAGTCCGTGTATGTGGTCACTCACTTTAGTCTGTAGTCAGTCTCAGCCATTATTCTGGGAATGCTTCGTTCCATAACCAGGAGCCTCCTGAAGGACAAGAGGGAGGGGGCAGATCTAATCTCGCTCGGGAGAGAATTCCATAGCCAAGGGGCCACCACAGAGAAGGCCCTTGAGGCGAGAGAGAGAGACTATTTCCTTATTAAAAACCTCTTTGCTCTTATACTGATTCAGTTTCTCCTTTTATATTGGCTGGGACTTTCTGCGTGCTGTTAAATCTTTGTACTTTTATTCACAGGTAATGAGACACACTTGTGTATAACAAAGTAACACAGTTTATTTATAACTTCTGGCTCCAACGCTTGTGGTTACATTTGTGTTTGGTTGCAATCTTGAGGCTTACAGTCAGTATCATTTACTTGGTTTACTTTTCTGCATAGACTTTCAATGTTTCTCATTCACAAACATGTTACTTGCTTTACACACTCTTGGCTGAATTATATTCTGACTAAAACAACACTGGCTTTATGTTCCTTAAAACTTGAGCTCTATTTAACTAACTGCTTCTCTATATCAGAAGTCTTTAACACATCTTCATAACTGCTTATTTCTAACAGGCACTCAAAAAACCAACTCTCCTCTTCACACACAGATTCCTACCTGTCATTTTCAAACTCCCTCACTCTAACTGCCTCTTTCAAAACCTTGCCTCCGCCCCTTTGGTATGTTCAGCTCTGCTCTCCCCAACTGTCATTTTGGCCTAGCAGCCTTTTCAAATCCTAGGCGTACACTAACCTGCATATGACCAATTGGCTTCACATATGCAAATGAATCCTATCTCTGCTGTTGCTACCCTGTCTGTGCCTATTCTTCCCTATTTGCCATATGTAAACATAGAGCTGTACACCAAAAATTTATCATAGAGTAGCAATTTCATTACAGTCCTGTCTCTCGTTCCCACCAAACGTGCTTGCGAAGGTGGTGGGACCGAGAGCAGGGCCTCTCCGGAAGATCTTAATGTCCTTGATGGTTCATAGGATGTTCTTGATGGTTCATACTGGGGTGCCATGTTGAAAAGATGAAGGGAATTGATTTGGGCCCCAAAAAGCTGCTTCCGTACTGCTGCACTGAGAATTGGACTTGCTGCTTTCGACCATTTATCATAACACTTTATGTCATAATCTTTGCAACCACGACTTTGCAGGACTCTGATAGCAGAAGATTCCCAGCCGGAGATTGAAATTTTGCAGCCGGTCAATCTCCAGTTGTCCGTCCAGAGGAATTTGGCCGCAGCTTGGTATCTGCAAATCCCAGGGATTGCGGTCAAAGGAGACCTGAAGGCTATGCAGGTAAGCCATGCTCTCGGTGGAGTCTAAACCAATTAGAATTAACAACCCAGGCTTAGCCTCGTGGCCTTTTCTGATTATGAAAAATTGGTTTGGAAGAATGGTAAAGTCTTTTAGCGGCCAGGTTTATTTTAACTATCAGCAAAGGATGTTCCTAAATCGCATTGGGCCAAATGTGCTTTACTGTTTGCCATTTTGGAGAGTCTACAAAAACCTGAAATAATTTTGATATTAATATTAATTAATTAATCTATATAAATAAAAATGTCATGTTTGTTTGTGGTATTCACAGAACTCAAAAACCCTTGGATGAATTGGCACCAAATTTGGACACAATAACCTAACAACCCAATGTATGTTCTCCACTCAAAAAAACCCACGAAAACAAAAAGCAGAAAGGACTTCTGAACTACATGTCCACAAAGGAGAAACTGCATGTCTACAAAGAGACCCATGGCCATGCCCCCTCCTCCTCCTCGTGGGGAAACAGCCAGCCGTTAAAGCTTGAGGAGCCAGGCGCGTGTGCATCCCCCCCCCCCACACACACAAGCGAGAGTGGGCACCATGGGAGTGGAGGGGGAGGCTTGCCGCATGGAGCCCCTTCTCTTTCCCTGCTCTGCCAGGAGGGCAGTCTCCTCCTCCTCCTCCATCTTTCCCTGTTGGAAGAGGCTGGCGGGTAGGGTAGGGACTTTCTGTAGACCTTTCTTTTTTAACTCTTTCCTTTCTAGGTTCTTGTGGGTTTTTTCGGGCTATAGGGCAATGTTCTAGAGGCATTTCTCCTGACCTTTAGAAGTAGTCTGCAGTGCCTTTCATGTTCCTTGATTTGTGGTGGGGCAATGTTGCTGCGTTTGGTGGTCCCTCTGTAGACTTGTCCACAGCTGCATGGTATATGGTAGACTCCTGCAGAGGTGAGAGGATCCCTCTTGTCCTTTGCTGAACGTAGCATTTGTTGGATTTTCCTGGTGGGTTTGTAGATTGTTTGTATGTTGTGTTTCCTCATCAGCTTCCCTATGCGGTCAGTGGTTCCCTTGATGTATGGTAAGAACACTCTTTCTCTGGGTGGATCTTGGTCTTGACTCTTGTGGCTTGTTCTTGGTCTTGCAGCTCTTCTGATGTCTGAGGTGGATGTCTGATGTCTCCATTGGCCTGGAGAGCCCCGTTGAGGTGGTTCAGTTCAATGTATTGTCGAAGGCTTTCATGGCTGGAATCACTAGGTTCTTGTAGGTTTTTTCGGGCTATAGGGCCATGTTCTAGATGCAGGCGAAACATCAGGAGAAATTCCTCTAGAACATGGCCCTATAGCCTGAAAAAACATACAAGAACCTAGTGGTTCAGTTCATCTTGGCAGATTCTTTTTGCACGGTCTGCCAAGGCTTTAATGGTTGGAGCTTTTATGTGGATATCTATCTGTGTGTGTGGGTTTTCTGTAGACGGTGTGACTCAATTGTTGATCTGGTTTGCGGATGACTAGGACATCTAGAAAAGGCAGTCTTCCTTCATTTCCTTTTTCCATTGTGAATTGGATTTTTGGGTGGATGCTGTTAAGATGGTCCAGGAACCTGTTGAGTTCTTCTTCTCCATGGCTCCAAATGGTAAAGGTGTCATCCACATATCTGAACCATATGTTTGGGTGGATGCTGTTAAGATGGTCCAAGAACCTGTTGAGTTCTTCTTCTCCATGGCTCCAAATGGTGAAGGTGTCATCCACATCTCTGAACCATATGTTTGGGTGGATGCTGTTGAGATGGTCCAGGAACCTGTGGAGTTCTTCTTCTCCATGGCTCCAAATGGTGAAGGTGTCATCCACATCTCTGAACCATATGTTTGGGTGGATGCTGTTGAGATGGTCCAGGAACCTGTGGAGTTCTTCTTCTCCATGGCTCCAAATGGTGAAGGTGTCATCCACATCTCTGAACCATATGTTTGGGTGGATGCTGTTGAGATGGTCCAGGAACCTGTGGAGTTCTTCTTCTCCATGGCTCCAAATGGTGAAGGTGTCATCCACATATCTGAACCATATGTTTGGGTGGATGCTGTTAAGATGGTCCAGGAACCTGTTGAGTTCTTCTTCTCCATGGCTCCAAATGGTGAAGGTGTCATCCACATATCTGAACCATATGTTTGGGTGGATGCTGTTAAGATGTTCCAGGAACCTGTTGAGTTCTTCTCCTCCATGGCTCCAAATGGTGAAGGTGTCATCCACATCTCTGAACCATATGTTTGGGTGGATGCTGTTGAGATGGTCCAGGAACCTGTTGAGTTCTTCTTCTCCATGGCTCCAAATGGTGAAGGTGTCATCCACATATCTGAACCATATGTTTGGGTGGATGCTGTTGAGATGTTCCAGGAACCTGTTGAGTTCTTCTTCTCCATGGCTCCAAATGGTGAAGGTGTCATCCACATCTCTGAACCATATGTTTGGGTGGATGCTGTTGAGATGGTCCAGGAACCTGTTGAGTTCTTCTCCTCCATGGCTCCAAATGGTGAAGGTGTCATCCACATCTCTGAACCATATGTTTGGGTGGATGCTGTTGAGATGTTCCAGGAACCTGTTGAGTTCTTCTTCTCCATGGCTCCAAATGGTGAAGGTGTCATCCACATATCTGAACCATATGTTTGGGTGGATGCTGTTAAGATGTTCCAGGAACCTGTTGAGTTCTTCTTCTCCATGGCTCCAAATGGTGAAGGTGTCATCCACATATCTGAACCATATGTTTGGGTGGATGCTGTTGAGATGGTCCAAGAACCTGTTGAGTTCTTCTCCTCCATGGCTCCAAATGGTGAAGGTGTCATCCACATCTCTGAACCATATGTTTGGGTGGATGCTGTTGAGATGGTCCAGGAACCTGTGGAGTTCTTCTTCTCCATGGCTCCAAATGGTGAAGGTGTCATCCACATCTCTGAACCATATGTTTGGGTGGATGCTGTTGAGATGGTCCAGGAACCTGTTGAGTTCTTCTTCTCCATGGCTCCAAATGGTGAATGTGTCATCCAC